GCCAGAGATACTGAGGTGGGGGCACCAGGTGTATGTAGACAGGAGGAGTGCTGGGGTTGAGCCAGGACAGAGGATTGGTTGGTATTAAACTCAGAGCTGCTTCACCAAACACCGCCAATAGAAGGCAGCAGAACACCTCCGCAAAATCAGGAGCCTGTAAAAGACATCGGCCATGTCCGAAATCTGGCTTGCTTAAACCATACGGATGGCCAGAAATTACTAAATACAATGACAAAATACCATAAATATCAATGTATCAAAATAAACTACAAAAAATGTGTATTCTTAAATGTATTTAATTAAAATTATTTTAAAATACAGAAATACATTTGCAAGCAACCGGCCTGAACAGCAACGACATTCTCAGTAATGGTTACAGAAACGTTTTACTTGCTATGACTGTGATATGTTGTTGTTTATCTTCCTTAGTTGAATTCACTGACTGGAAGTCACTCTGGATAAGAGTGTCTGCTAAATGACCAAAATGTAAATGTATGTGTAAAAATGAACATCCCAAAACTAACTGCCAAGCACACTGGGTATTATTATTGGCCTAGTTTCGGGGTCATGTCTAAAAAGGATACAGCTTAGCATCATTCTCCTAACCTGCTGTGTAAATTCTCCTAAACCTGCTACGAAAAGTCAAATTAGAAAAAAGCTGTATCCCTTCTAGACAAAACCTTGTTTCGGGGCGGAGCTCATTAGAATAATACTCAGTATAATAATACCAATAATACAATTATAATACTTTTCAATTGTTCATTTTTACATATCCATTTATATTTAGTTAATTTAGCAGATGCTCTTATCACATCATAGTGCCATAAGACTTCTGATACCAATGTAGGGTGAAAGGGGGCCACAAAATGGTGAACTGCTATAAAAAATGGTATAGAACACTATTTATTTTGTATTTTGAAAATACAAATTACAGCTCTCAAAAGTATCTTGTTACAAAATACATTGGAGTGTAGTTCAGTCCAAATACATATTTAAAATACATGTAACACATTGGAGACTGGTGGGAGGAGCTATAGGAGATGGGCTCATGGTAATGACTGGAATTGAAACAGGGAATGTATCATACATATGAAACCACGTGTTTGACTCCGTTCCATCTATTCCGTTCCAGCCATTACAATGAGCCCGTCCTCCTATAGCTCCTCCCACCAGCCTCCTTGGATGTAACGTAAATAGTTCACCATTTTGTGGCCCCCTTACAAGCATTTCGCTACACCCGCTATAACATCTGCTAAACACATGTATTTGACAAATAAAATTGGATTTGATTTGATTTGAAATACTGCCAATCTCTGAATGTACTACATACTATTTAGAACGTACTGTTTAGTAAAAAGGCATGCAGTAAGAAACAAATATCAACATACTACTCATCAATACTATTCCCCGCCATTCGTTCATTTTGGTACAGCCCGTCCCTCTATTCTGATTATCAGCTGCTGTCAAACACGTGGGTCTGAAAAGACGATTGTCTTCCTCAACAGTGTGCAGAGAATTCTACATTCACATTCTACAAATTTCACATTCCCAAAAAGCCTAAGAGAGAGAGAGAGAGAGAGAGAGAGAGAGAGAGAGAGAGAGAGAGAGAGAGAGAGAGAGAGAGAGAGAGAGAGGAGAGAGAGAGAGAGAGAGAGAGAGAGAGAGAGAGAGAGAGGAGAGAGAGAGGGAGAGAGAGAGAGGGAGGGGGGGCAGTAAATACAGTAAGAAAGACAGAGGCATAATATTTGCTGTCTCCGTCTCTAGGTTGGGTCTGGGCGCTCTGATCTACTCAGCACATTCCACTCTGTCCAAACAACAGAGCATTCTTTATTTGTATTTTCAATGAATATGGACCATCTACATTCTCAGCTTTATATATCAAAACTACTTTCAAACAATCCATAATGTAGTGGCTGCCACGCCGTCATTGTAAATAAGAATTTGTTCTTAACTGACTCGCCTGAATGAATAAAGGTTCAATTCAAACAAAGTAGTAAACAGTAGACAGCTTTCACTGACAGTATATAAAATATGTACATCTGCAGGCACTAAAATAGTTTCCTGTAATTTCTGGCATTTCTGGTGTTGGCTAAGTATTTCCTGGGGTCTGATATCTGGCCCTCTTCCTCTCCACACCCTTTTTTACTTCCATTTCTGCTAATCAAAAAGGGTTTGATGATTTTGTCTGGACCCTGTTACCTGTCCAGAAAAATATGTTAACTAATTCATTGGGAACCAGATATTTTTCTAGTCAGGACGTGTGATTGGGGAAAAACCCCTGGACCTAAAGGATAAGTGGAGTTTCACTTATACTGAACAAAAATATAAATGCAACATGTAAAGTGTTTGTCCCATCTTTCATGAGCTGAAATAAAACATCCCAGAAATGTTCCATTTGCACAAAAAGCATATTTCTCTCAATTTTTTTGCACAAATTTGTTTACATCCCTGTTAGTGAGCATTGTATCATTTGTCAAGATAGTCCATCCACCTGACAGGTGAGGCATATCAAGAAGCTGATTAAACAGCATGATCATTACACAGATGCACCTTGTGCTGGGGACAATAAAAGGCCACTCTAAAATGTGCAGTTTTGTCAAACAAAACAATGCCACAGATGTCTCAAGTTTTGAGGGAGCATGCAATTGGCATGCTGACTGCAGGAATGTCCACCAGAGCTGTTTCCAGAGATTTACTGTTAATTGATCTACCATAAGCCGCCTCCAACATCATTTTATAGAATTTGGCAGTATGTCCAACCTGCTTCACAACCGCAGACCATGTGTAACCATGCCAGCCCAAAACCTCCAAATCCGGCTTCTTCACCTGCGGGATCGTCTGAGACCAGCCACCCGGACAGCTGATGAACTTGAGTATTTCTGTCTATAATAAAGCCTTTTTGTGGGGAAAAACTCATTCTGATTGGCTGGACCTGGCTCCCCAGTGGGTGGGACTATGACCTCCCAGGCACACCCATGGCTGCGCCCCTGCCCAGTCATGTGAAATCCATAGATTAGGGCCTAATACATTTATTTCAATTGACTGATTTCCTTACATGAACTGTAACTCAGAAAAATCGTTTAAATTGTTGCATGTTACGTTTATATTTTTGTTCAGTATAAATTACTTGACCTGCAACGACCTTTCAGTCAAAAGCTATGAGGAGAAGTCAAGTAGGACCCATGGATCTGGTGTGATGGTTTGGTTTGGGACAAGGCCCAACTAGGACCAAGAGATTGGGTGTGAGGGTTTGGTTTGGAATGGGGCCCTGGCCTTGGAGGCCAATAGTGAGCTCTAGGGACGTCAACTCGTATAAACAGAATATTGGGAAACCATCCTTGACATTCTAAAAACCTTCTTTCATTTTATGTCGAACTTGATATGATTTTGGGAGATCTTTTTTTCACCACTGATGTTACACTTGAAATTACAATATTTAACAACAAAAAAGCACATCAGTATATTTCAAACACTTTGCAAAATAAAATACAATATATACTGTATGGATTGTTTCTCATCTATCATCTAAACAGCACCATTAAAAAAGTAAAAGCTCCATGTATAAATATTGTATGTGTGTCTGATTTTGCGCTCACGTTCAAGTGCCATGGTCCTATGTTTTATTATAGATGTAGGGGCCTGCCACCAAAATATATGTCAACGCCCCAATACCCGTATTCCTATTGGAACACTTTTTAACAAACTCCATTATGTCACTAACTATTTTGTAACCAGACTCTATCTAAGATAGTTGACATTTGGGACGATCCATTGTCAAATATAGTCCTGGTTTTTCATTCAAATTTCAAAGAAAAAGAGTGGCCACGCTAGTACAATAACCCAGACATACAGAAAAGTTTGCTTACATGTTTTGAATGTACACAGTCACCGAACAACAAGAATGCAGTTATGTGAATGAATGTACAGCTATGCCATGCTTTATCTAGTCCAGGTTATTGCATGACATGTTTTATGATATGTATGTATATAACTTTGTTACACTGGGAACAATAAAGATCTATTGAATTGAAATTGACAATAAAGATATTGAAATTTAAATGGATGTGTTTACAGTGTAATATAAATGCAATCTATGTCTAACTAAAAAAATATTCTCTATCTCTACATCTGAAAGCTATGAGTGTTCTTTTTGATCACCTTTATTTAACCAGGTAAGCCAGTTGAGAACAAGTTCTCATTTACAACTGCGACCTGGCCAAGATAAAGCAAAGCAGTGCGATAAAAACAACAACATATGGTTTATCTGAGGGCAAAGTTGATACGAATTATAATACTTTGCATCACAATTCATAAAGGGTTTCCATCCCAAATAGCACCACACCGGAATTCCCTATTTAGTGCACTATCTTTTACTAGAACCTTATGAGACTATATAGGGAATAGGGTGCCATTTGGGATCCATTCTAAGTGTTGCCGGGAGTCCTGGTGTACTTTTTAAGATTTACTGGCCAAAAGTGAAAGCAGTAATGTAAGAATGTAATGGCTGCAGGACGATGTTTCACACCCTCAAGGCACTTTGAACATGGTTAGTGCTATCCATGAACCCTCGGGACGTCCCAACCCTGAGGGTTAGTGCTATCCGTGATCCTTGCGACGTCCCAACCCTGAGGAGTATTTTTCTTCGCTCTGCTCTCCTCTCATACAGGAGTAATAAAGGCCTAGTGCACTAATTTGGTGGGAGAAATACATATCTTTTTTATATTTGAATATATATTAATATTATATGTTTTTATTTATCAGGGAGTGCTGCAGCACCCTCAGCACCGATACTGCTCGGCTATGGGTTGTTCAACTCAACAACACAACAGAGGCCATCTTGAATTGATTCTGTTTGGCTGTTTCCTGAAAAAACTTCAGAACGATCATCAATCTTCATCAGGATGTGTGTGCAACATGTTTTTACCAAATTAACACTTAGCTTTGTTGACTTCTCAAAGTAAGTCAATATCTCTTTTAATATCTGGATTAAAATACAGTTATTACAACACACATAAAAAAGACACAATAAGAAAAACAGGGAGATATTCTTCTACGAACTGTGAACCAATCTTCTTCAGATGTGGTCTCCTTCTCGTATACGTCCGAAGTGGCATTCTATTCCCTATGTAGTGGACTATATAGGGAATAGGGTGCCATTTGGGACACACACCCAACCGTCCCCTTCCCCCTTACCCCTCGCTTTTGGGCTTGATGAGGTGTCCATTGAAGGTGATGTAGGTATCAAAGTCGTCGCTAAAGATGGCGTTCTCCCTCTCGCCTTTGAACAGCCGGACCCACACCTGGTCCTCTCCCTCCAGCTGTAGCATTAGACTCTGGCTCTGCATGATGCTCCGGTCACTGGCCTGGGCGTACAGGATCACCACCTCCCTCTCGTTATGCATCACGTGCACGTACGTCTCCTTCTGGTTCCACGTGTGCACGTTCAGGCTGAAGTAATAGATCCCCGGCACGTAGCAGTAGAACTTGCCAGTGAACATGTTGAAGTGGCCGTAGAGGTTGACGAGCTCGGTGTCGAACACTAAAGTCTGGTAATAGTCGTTGGAGTGGATGGCCTTCTTGCGGCCCACAGAGAAGGCAGCGTACTGGACCTTGCATTGTTCACCCTGGATCCCTACGCTCCCCTTGGTCCCTTTGATACCGTTGGGCCCACGGGGGCCGGACTGGCCGGACTTGCCGGATTTACCGTAGGGTCCTCGCTGGCCGCTGTCCCCCTTCTCACCTAGAGAAGGAAGAAGTAGAAATGATAGAAATGACCTCAGGTCAGGTCACGGTCAAGATGGTTTTCCTTGGTTTCTGTACTCAAATAACTGACGATTAGGATTTGAAATGTGTTTATGGTCTGTTGAACTATTTGTTGTGTTTGTGTCTGACACCGATTGGTCAGCTGTTTAGCAATAGCTAGCAAATCATTCATCATTCCAGTTACAGTACCACATCTGTTTTCACATTCTCAGCATCCAAGATATACAATATGTCAGAAACAAATACCCACAGCTGTTGTCCCCTTTCCTAACCAACTGGTTTCCAAACTAGTTTTGGCCCAAAGCCTTTATTCGCCTCATCATTATCCCCCTAAACACAGTCTGAGTCCCAAATAGCACCCTATTCCATACATAGTACACTACTTTCGACCAGAATTGTTTAAACACTGCATATTTCCCAGCATGCTTTTCGAATGAATGTGAGAGATACCCACCCATGATTGTGTCCGTTAGTGACAGAGACATGATTGTTGCATTCAATAACTTTCAGTTCTAAAGCCTTCACCAAATGACTGCCTCAGTGTCTGAAAATCATGGCCCTTGGGCCACATCATTTACATTTTAGTCATTTAGCAGATGCTCTTATCCAGAGCGACTTACAGTTAGTGAGTGCATACATTTTTCATACTGGCCCTCCGTGGGAGTCGAACCCACAACCCTGGCGTTGCAAGCGTCATGCTCTACCAACTGAGCTGCAGGAGGCACTTGCAAGTCACAATATGCTGGTTTGTAAAGTGATTAGTAATTTATAGTGATGGAGAAATGAAACTTCCTGAAGCATTGAGCATTTCCAGCCAATTGTGTCAAAAATAGGTTTGATATATGAGACTTTGATAAAGAGTGTACACTAGTGCCACCTGCTGGTCCAAATAATTTAGAGCAGCCAAATGATTATAGATGATGTCCCAAACGCTGTAGCGTGTGTGCAGGGTAGCCTTTTTGTCTCCTACCCAACCAATAACAAATCAATCAGGTGGTTTGACAAAATGAAGCATCGGACATCATTGATCACATGCTTCCGACAAAGTGATAGAAGCATTGGCACACTGTTTCAAAGCAAAACTGCTTAGCGATTTCAACACATGCCTCAGAGCTCCAGTATCAAACATAATATCACTAGTAATTCACACCAGAGGGAGGACATCCAACCACTGGAATAGTTTGTCACCCACAACATGCACTCAGAATAACTGCTATGGTGAAGGACTTGTTAAACAAACATTCTTAAACTATCTTTAAACCATATCAACTGGACCATCTCAGTAGCCCCTCCTACTTCTTTTTCGCTCAGGAAGTTAACAGAAATTAACTCACCACAGTTGAGTAACAACAACACCATGTGGAGTTGATTCCACTGTGATTCAAATAACACTTCATTTATTCACTGCATGTGGTGTCAATTTAAATCCCACAAGGTGTTAACCCCCATTAGAATCAACACAGCTATAACACTCACAACACTTTTTACCTCAACACTGAGATTTTAACACTGAGATTTTTTAAGCTGAGACCCAGTAGCAACTACAACCACAACTGTTCCTAACCCCGGGGAACACTTCCCTATCTCACACGCCCAAAACCTTTGTCCCCTCTCATCTTTGTGGAGAGTCCCCAAGCTCACCCTGCTTTCCACAGACCCTGCATGCCTGTGGTTTAGCCTGACCCTGATGTGATCTTGGCAGAGACATCATTCTAGTTAGAAAGGTATAGGGGGGCTCGCTGACTCTCGAAAGCCTTGCATGCAGTTTCTAGTTGCGAGCTTCATTTGCTAACTTCAGACCCATTTGCCATAGCTTCGGGCCTTTAAGGTAAATAAACCAATTTCTTAGAATCTGGATAAGAGCGTCTGCTAAATGATGTAAATGTAAATGTGATCTGCTTTCTGCTACACTGGACCACTCCTTTGATGTTGTTAACACCCTATTACCTAGTTACCTAGTTACCTAGTAACTTAACTTACATTTGTGTGCAAGTAGTAGTGTCTGTGATACCGCCTACCTTTGAGGATGGTGATGTTGATCTGTGGCACCGCCTACCTTTGAGGATGGTGATATTGATCTGTGGCACCGCCTACCTTTGAGGATGGTGATGTTGATCTGTGGCACCGCCTACCTTTGAAGAGGGTGATGTTGATCTGTGGCACCGCCTACCTTTGAGGATGGTGGTGTTGATCTGTGGCACCGCCTACCTTTGAGGATGGTGGTGTTGATCTGTGGCACCGCCTACCTTTGAGGATGGTGATGTTGATCTGTGGCACCACCTACCTTTGAGGATGGTGATGTTGATCTGTGGCACCACCTGGTACTGTGGGCAGTGTTGTGGGTACTGGGGGTTGGCATACTGAGTAGGGACCTCGTCTCCAGGGTCACAGCACCGCTGACACTCTTTACCACTCACTTCACTACCGGGGCCAGAGAAAACAATGTCAATGGATACATCCCAAATAACACCCTATTCCCAGATTTGTGCACTACTTTTGACCCGAGCCAAACGTAGCGCACCATATAGGGACCCTGGTCAAGGGTAGTGCACTATATAGGGAATAGGGTGCCACTTGGAGAGGTAGTATCAGGTAGTATGTTGTGTAGCAGTAGTACCTGGCATCTCTGTGGTAGTCCCTGGTGTCTGGCCTGGTGTCTGGCATGGTGTCTGGCATGGAGTATGTCCTGGTGTCTGGCCTGGTGTCTGTCCTGGTGTCTGGCCTGGAGTCTGGCCTGGTGTCTGTCCTGGTGTCTGGCCTGGTGTCTGCCCTGGTGTCTGTCCTGGTGTCTGTCCTGGTGTCTGGCCTGGTGTCTGTCCTGGTGTCTGGCCTGGTGTCTGTCCTGGTGTCTGCCCTGGTTTCTGTCCTGATGTCTGGCCTGGAGTCTGTCCTGGTGTCTGGCCTGGTGTCTGGCCTGGAGTCTGTCCTGGTGTCTGGCCTGGAGTCTGTCCTGGTGTCTGGCCTGGAATCTGCCCTGGTTTCTGTCCTGGTGTCTGGCCTGGAATCGGTCCTGGTGTCTGGCCTGGAGTCTGTCCTGGTGTCTGTCCTGGTGTCTGCCCTGGTTTCTGTCCTGATGTCTGGCCTGGAGTCTGTCCTGGTGTCTGGCCTGGTGTCTGTCCTGGAGTCTGCCCTGGTGTCTGTCCTGGTGTCTGGCCTGGAGTCTATCCTGGTGTCTGGCCTGGAGTCCATCCTGGTGTCTGCCCTGGTGTCTGTCCTGGTGTCTGGCCTGGAGTCTGTCCTGGTGTCTGGCCTGGTGTCTGGCCTGGTGTCTGGCCTGGAGTCCATCCTGGGGTCCATCCTGGTGTCCGGCCTGGAGCCTGGCCTGGTGTCTGGCCTGGTGTCTGGCCTGGTGTCTGGCCTGGAGTCCATCCTGGGGTCCGTCCTGTGGTCCATCCTGGTGTTTGGCCTGGAGTCCGCCCTGGGGTCCGTCCTGGGGTCCATCCTGGTGTCTGTCCTGGTGTCTGTCCTCTCTCTGTCCCTGTCCCTGTCTCTGTTCTGGCCTTGTTCCTGGTCGTATGGGGTCCGGTAGGGTTCACCTGACTCCACCAAAAGGAGCAGTACCACCCACGCACACAGGGAAGAGGGCGGCCGCCCACCGCGCACTTTCATCTTCAGGAAACAGGAAGTGACAGCAGTCATGATCAGGAAGTCATTGAGCTCATAGGGTGAGGAAATGTCAACACTAGTTACCACAGCCACAAAGTCATAATTATGGCTAAACCCAGCCTATTTCTAAAATGTCTCTTCCTCAAAATCTGATTTTACACCTAACCATAACCTTAACCCTAACCTTAACCACACTGCTAACCTTATGCCTAACCCTAACTTGAAATTAAGATCATGAATTGTTAGGATATAGCCAATTAGCCAATGTTTCACCAGGGCTCCGGACGAAAGTAGTGCACTATGTAGGGAATAGGGTGCCATTTGAGATTGAGACAGACTGTACTCTCAGAGTAAAAAACTGTTAATGATTGTAAAAAACAACAGACAAAACATTTTTTTTTAAACAAATTCATTTCACACATTAGACTAACTAATTTCACACATTACACTAACTAATTTCACACATTAGACTAACTAATTTCACACATTAGACTAACACATTTTTCACACATTAGACTAGACTAACTCAAGAGAAATTATGCTGGAGAATTTGAAGGTCTTTGAACTTCTTTAAGGTAGTGATAACATAACGCCCTTGGACCGCCCCCTGATGATCAGATATGTTTGAAGATGACCTGAAGCCAAAGGTCAAGTTGAGGGTCACTGCTCTGTCTCACCCTGAAGAAGTATGAGAGGACTGTTACGTTACTCTTCAGATCAGGACTATGGGATGAGAGAGAGTCCGCTGACTGATCATGTACGAGATGTTGTTTTCACATGAGGACCAGGAGTAGTGAGCAGGCAGCAGTAAGTCGCTTTGGATAAAAGCGTCTGCTAAATGGCATATTATTATTATTATTATTAGTGTGCAGGCAGCAGTAGGTGGCCAAAAGGCCTGTATGAACCATTTGATGCTATTCTGGTTGTCTCAAATTATAGGTCATACGTTTTATGGCTCTTGGCTTGTATTTCATTTTCCTGTCTCTCACAGTATTTGTGTCTTTCTGTCTGCTGCTATGAAATCTCCTCTGGGGATAATCAGAGTACTTATTAATCTATTGAAACACAGGGTAGATCATTACCTTTTAGTGTACTGGTAGGGCTTGATTGTTTTTCTTCTCCAATTAGGAGATTGTGTCCCCCTAAAGTCTATAATCACCACACACACACACACTCTCTCTCTCTCTCTCTCTCTCTCCTCTCTCCGTATCAAGGTAATCACTAGTATCACAGCAGTTATTAACTTGTTTTGGCGTTTGGTTTTAGTTTCCTGTGATGCAATGTGATCGACGTTTAAAGCGAGTATCTACTTTGGAAAACACAGTAAGTAGAGCTGTGCTTTTGAACTCAAATCGCAGGCTGGGGCCAGATAAAACAGCGCTACCAATTGACCATTGAGCAAAAGCCTGTGTTGTGGTGTCTGTGAACCAATGTGGCAGTAAACCAGACAAACACTACGTCCCAAATGGCACCCTATGCCCTATATAGTGCAGTACAAATGTAGGGCTCTATAAAGGGAATAGGGTGCCATTTGGAACGCATTAAGAGAATAGACTATCAACAGAAAGAGAAGGGACTGTCTGTACTGGCAGAGAAGGTCTAATATGGCAAGAGACTAAGAATGGAATAAAGAATCTAAAATATGAATAAACAGTAATGTCACTGTTAACAAGTATGGACGAGAGAGAGAGAGAGAGAGAGAGAGAGAGAGAGAGAGAGAGAGAGAGAGAGAGAGAGAGAGAGAGAGAGAGAGAGGGAGAGAGAGAGAGATAGAGAGAGAAGACACCAGTCAATGAAACAGGAGAGAATATACAGTGTCAAGAGAATAATCAGTGTGTGTGTGCATTAATTTATCTGCTCATCTGAGAGCGTGAGAACCCTGATGCCAGGTGCATCTGGAGAAGTTCAAAGGCATTGTGGCCACAGCTGAATCTCTAATCCCCTGGTTAATCTCATGTGTACACCCTATAAACTCTGACCTCTTAACACTATACCCGCTGATTCTTCATGCAACTTGATGTGTCCCAAATGGTACCCTATTCCCTTTGTAGTGCACTACTTTTGACGGGGGCCCATAGGGCTCTGGTTAAAAGTAGTACATTATATATGGAACAGGATTTCATATGGGACGCAGACCCTCTACCCTCTGCTCTTTGATTAGTTCTCTCCTCTCTCTAATACAGACGGAGGAGGAAGGGGGAAACCAATGGAGACAGAGGTTCCATCCCAAATGGCGCCCAATTCCACAACAGTAAGATGGTCTTCCCAGTTGATGTTAACAGAGATGGTAGATAAGTGTTTGTTTGGTATACTCTGACCCATTTAACTCATCATTGTTTATTTGAAATAGTGGTTGTGACTATTTACAGAAAACTGAGGGCACTTTATCACCCTTTTTGTCCCCCTTTTAAGTTATTAATATATTTGTAATATTCCAAGCAGATAACTAACAAAACCAGTGTTCAAATACTAAAGAATGCACTTTCTGTTTTCTCATAAGACATACAGTTGAAGTCGGAAGTTTACATACACCTTAGCCAAATACAGTACATTTAAACTCAGTTTTTCACAATTCCTGACATTTAATCCTAGTAACAATTCCGTCTTAGGTCAGCTAGGATCACCACTTTATTTTAAGAATGTGAAATGTCAGAATAATAGTAGAGAGAATGATTTATTTCAGCTTTTATTTCTTTTATCACATTCCCAGTGGGTCAGAAGTTTACATACACTCAGTTAGTATTTGGTAGCAT